GGAATACTCACCTCTAATGATCTAAGTGCTAGAGCCCACTGCAACTACATAGCCAAAAAGGCATTAAGAGTTGTTAACCTAATCCTACGTAGCTTTTTCTCTGGTAATATCACACTACTAACCAGAGCATACAAAACATTTGCTAGACCAATACTCGAATACAGTTCATCAGTCTGGAACCCACATTACGTATCTGATATTAGCACAATTGAGAAAGTCCAGAAATATTTCACAAGAACAGTTCTCCACTCCTCTACTCGTTGTAGAATACCTTATGCCACCAGACTTGAAATTCTAGAACTAGAAAACCTTGAATTACGCCGTCTTCGGTCTGATTTAAGCATGGTATATAAAATCATACATTGCAATGTCCTACCTGTCAATGAATACTTCAGCTTCAACCAATACAACACAAGAGCACACAATAGATACAAACTCAAAGTTAACCGCACCAAACTTGATTGCAGGAAATACGACTTCAGCAATAGAGTGGTCAATGTCTGGAATACTCTACCCGACTCTGTAGTCTCTTCCCCAAACCCCAAAAACTTTAACCTTAGACTGTCTACTATTGACCTCACCCCTTTCCTAAGAGGTCTGTAGGGGGTGTGCATAAGCGCACCAACGTGCCTACCGTCCCTGTCCTATTGTTTCTCTTATTCTTCTTTTATTTTTCTTATATGTACCCATTTCATGTATTCACAACTATGTATACACTTATACTTATTATCTTGTAAACAATTGGCAAATCAAATAAATAAATAAATAAATAAAATCATGTGGATGTCACGTGTTGTATTGTGACTTTTTTCCCTTTGCTAAACTGGGGATGGAGGTGGCCAGCACATGATGCATCCGGCCTGTGGGCCACGAGTTTGACACCCCTGCCTTAGTTGAATATTGATAAATATATTACAATATTAGTTTTTCTTCCCTTGTGAAACAGGTCTACAATAATCTGCTACAATTCTATTGACCCAAACAGTCTGATTCATCATCTGCCTCTTGTACAAAGAAACAGTTAACAGGCGAGCCCAACAACAAAAACTAACTTCAAAGCCCTTTGTTAACAAGCCATTATTGTGTTTTACTTGAAGAAATCGGCAACAGCGTCAATTTCATTTTCAACTTTAATCATTACAGTCATTGTCTCTTGTCCATCCAGGATCAAATAGCTTTGATTGATTCTTAATAATAGAACTTTTCCTTATTATAACTAAGGTTTTTCCATATAATCACATTTAATTCCCCAAAATAATAGATCTCTGTTGTAGGTATACAACATTTATCTACAGTGTTTGCTGTTCAAAATTTCTATGTCTGTTTTTTCATTGGAAATAAAAGTATTGGGATCAATGATTAAATAGTATAAATTATATTTCTCAGATGGCCTGCTTATATTTTTCAATTGCCCTGCTTATTCAAGTTTGAATTTCTACCACTGATGAGAAGAGGAAGATGATGAACGTTATGATCAATTTCAATTTGAAATTGAGAAAACATGCAATCAAAGTAGATGTGCTGTTTTGGTTCAGAACAAGACTGCCAAAATTGGATATAGTAAGGACAAGATAATAAGTTGGTTACTCGGCCTAAAAATTGACATTATGCAGGAAAATGACTTAATAAATTTCCCCCTATACAATAATTTCTTCATTGCTAAATAGTCTTGTGAGTTCTATTGCATAATAAAACAAATTTATCTCTTGAAACATAAATGACCATGTTCAAATTACCATATTTTTGACAGTACTGGGAAAGATAGAAAGAAAAGAGAAAAGGATGACCAGCAGCAAGATGGATTGATTTGATTACAGCACTTATGAGTTTACTGTTGTAACAAAAACAGGATTTGGACAGATCATCCTGGAAAATTATGTGAATACTACAAGGTGACACTGGTCTAAGTTAATCAATGAAAAGTAATAAACCAAATTATATCTCAGAATAATTCCCCCACTGTCCCATCCTGAATGTGCTGCTTTATGGTTATTTTAATTCTTTCTACTTTTGTGATTATTCTAATTCTTCTTTATAAACCTCATGTATCCTTTTCCTATTTCAGTAACTACTCAATACGTATTAACATTTTCAATTTAAAGCGTGTCAAATAGCATAGTTCATTGATCCAAGGCACTGATATTCTTTTTTAGAATACTCCCATTATAAGAACTCTAAATATATTCTGTCTTTTTTTACATTCCACAGGTTTATGAAACTCAGAGAAAAGAAATAACTTTCCCCTTTGCCTATGTTCTTAGAGCTGAATAATAATAATAATATTTTTCTAGATAGAGCACAAAAATCTTATTTAGTCACTTCCATTCTTGAATGGGAAAAATGTGGGATCCAAATATTACTGGACAATAACTCATAGCATCTCTTATCACTGTTCATGCTATCTGGATTTGCAGCTGTCCGTGTTGGTGCTTGCTCATGATAACAGCTAATCTGATCTATAATGTTTAAAAATGTATCTGGCATTTTTCTTCGGGAAAATGCTATGAGGTATTGATAGCCTCTAGTTTAAGAAGGAAGAATATTGTGAGGACTACAGAAATAAAATATTTAGCAGAAAAAATATTTGGAAATATCTTCTGAATTATAAGCTTCCTTCAAAATAACTTTAAATAAAATAAAATCCAACTAAATTGAGGGGTCACATTTATTTCCTCTGTAAGAAAAGTTTTTGTTTTTGTTGTTAGTAGGATTTCTTCAGTTTGCTTTTGAAAAGAGAAAAATATACTTAAATATCCAACTTGTATTTTAGTGATCACTGTTTGCTGATCAAAATTATGAGTTAATTGACTATACTGAATAAAATATTGACTATTTAGTTGAAATCTGAATAAATTCAGATTTAATATATCTTACCAATAAAATAAACAGTATTTTCTGATGTATAAGTACTTGCAAAAACAGTAAAGAAGAAAAGCAATAAAGAAGAAAACTGGAGAATAATAATCATGCCAGTCTGATATTTCCAAATACCCTAAATACACAAGGTTGCAAAAGGATAGAGAAATATGTAATGCCAAAAAAAAAAAAAATCACTACCAGCATTGATAACATCACAACACTAAGAGGACCAGAACAAAAAAGGTTTTCCATAGCTGCCTCAAAGGGAGGGAGGGGAATGGATTTTTCATAGTAGAATTTTTAAAAACATTTCATCTATACAGAGATTTTGAATTAAAGAATACATTATACACTTTTGCAAATTCTTTAATTTTAAATACTTCCAGGAAATTATGGAATACCAAGAATGGATCTTGTGCAGCTTCAGTGATTGACCAAGATATTCTTTCCCCATTTTTAAAGCTGTGCAAAGTGTAATCAAATAATTTTTATATCTTTTTAATTATACTTAAAACTTCAACTTATTTTAATCTTTTTATACCTTTGAGATGCTTTTTAAAAACAAAACTGTGTGGTTTGTTCTACTTTTTAACAAGTCACTTTGAGCAGCAGTGGTCTCTCCTTAGTGAAAGAGCCTTGATCCTCTGAACATGAATGATTTTGACCAATGATGAGGGATATGGAAAAAATTAGAGTATATTATTTGAAGCTTTGTTCTGACTATGAAATATATGGTTTCATTCTTGGGATGAAACAAGGATGGCAACCTGACTGCTGCAGTTGATCTGTTTGGTGAGTTGTGATTTTAAGGCTTCCTTCCCCCCATCCCAAATCTTTTATAGGCTAATCCATAGTGCATCAGAGACTGATCTTATTAGTGATCTGGACTAGATAGCAATAGCAATAACACTTATACTTCACAGTGCTTTCCAGCCCTCTCTAAGTAATTTATAGACTTAGCATATTGCCCCAACAATCTGGGTCCTCATTTTACTGATTTCAGAAGGATGGAAGGCTGAGTCAACTTTGAGCTGGATAGGATCAAACTCCTGGCAATGGGAAGAGTTAGCTTGTAATACAGCATTCTAACTACTGCACCACCATGGCTCTGGATGGATGGGTGATGTAGGAATGAGGGTTTTAGGAGAAAGCAGTATTTGCACATACACTACAACAACACTGCTTCAACACTACTAATTTACCTAACAACATTGCTGATTTTATTTTAAAGGTTGCTGTGAGACAGAATTTATGCAGGTGGATAGGTAATTCAATTTCTGTTATCCTGCCTTATTTTAAAGACAACTAATTCAAAGGGGTGGCACACAGTAGCTTGCCTTTTATGCAAAAGTTGCTAATGCTACTGAAGTTATATATAAAAACAAAGGTTACTAGGATATAATGCCTTTTAATGGTACATGTTTTTCATACAATTAAGAAACAGCATTTGCTGTCTTTTTTGTTTTGCTTTGTTGTACTTTTGTTCAACAGCCAACAGACACCCTTATGTGCAAGCATAAACATCAGTTGCTTTGCTACAGAAAATTGGCAAAACAATGAACATAAAACCCCAAAACAGTAAGAAAAAGTTATGGCACATTCATTGAGGCGAATGCTAGATTAGCTTTCTCATTGTCGTGCATCTTGCTGATTGTATAACAACATGCTACACATTTAAAGACATTGTAAATACTTCTTTCCGTTCAGAGTGGAGCTTTTTATATACAGTATATAAAACATGCTTATCTAAACCAATGTCAGTTGATAAGAACAGAATTATATATTCATTGTTTCCTATAGGGATTTAATATAATTTAAAAGAGTTGTAAAACTTATGACCTTGATCGTATTTTATGGAAACTGGTTAGTGGATTGTTTTCAGAATCAACAGTGGAATTCAATTATTTTGTACAGCTGAACTCTCAAAATTGTATGAAATGTATTCTAGTGGAACAAAGAATATTGAAGCTCTATTGAGTGTTGTTGGGTACAAAGCTGTCAACTCAAAACATTTGACTGAACTTTTTGAATGGGGCTGTTTTAATATTAACTCAAAAATGATTTCTCATTTCATTCACAACCATTTTTACTCCTTCATTGGAAGCTTCCCATGTCTGGGCATATATGGCTATGTGGAAAAATTGTGAACTGCCCTTTCAAGGAAATGAAAAGCACATGAAATCAATTAATTAATTTCTTGACCTTATTTTAAAATCTTAGACCTCATATAATATTTAAGGAAAACAAATATTCTGGGTTATATAATTGATTTATTTTGGTAAATAGAATTTCTTCTGAATGACTTAAGAATAATGTTTCATTGATCAATATATCAAATTGTTGGAAACCATGGAACTAATATTTTAAATGTAATGTGGAATATTGTGAAGTAATGAAGTAAAACTTCCGTGAAGTTTTCACGGAAAAGTACTATATTTTAACATTTTAATAAGAATTCAGAGTTGGATAACAAATCTATCAGCTATCTATCTGTGAATCTGTCTCTTTCTCTCTCTCATCTCTCATCTCTCTGTCTATGTCTATCTTCTTCTTCTTTACTATTTGCTGAAGCGAAAATTCAAAACTACCATAAACATGCATTTTCAAAAGGTGTGTTAATAATGCTTGATTTCTGCATAAGTTTAACAAGGCTTTCATTTATATTAGAATAGCAGAGGTTTTGTGAAATAAAAGAATTAAATCAACAAAAATCAGTATCTCTGAAAAAGGGAAACAAAAAACAAATTGGGTTCAGTATGTCTCTTACACAGAAGGACTTCCTAGGGAAGGTTTCTGATGAAAGCAGAGGTCTTGTTGTTTCCAGTATCTGTTACAAATCTGTATGTTCCCTGAAACTCTACTGCATAGAAGATTTTAGGCAATAGTATGCTGGTGAGCCTCAGGTGTCAGGAAAAGCAAACTAGCAAAAACTCTTCTATAAGAGTTAATTGGAAATCTATAACTAACAGAAGCAGAAACTAATCCAATCTTTATTCAAAGTACTTTCTATTTTTAAATCTGATTTGCACATTTTTTGAGAAGCCATTTTTCAAAATTTTATTAATAATGGCAAACTTCTGTGAAGTACCATATATACTTATCTTTTGCAAAAAATCAGATTAATCATTAGTTTAGAATGTATTAAATAAATTCTGCAAGCCATATCCCTGAATCAGTGGCAGAGACAATTTATTTGTCAGAATCAATAGTTCAGACAATACAAATCTTAATTGTAATGGATTATGAGCAACAGAAATATTGTTAAACAATATTAGCTTGAAGCTGCACCTAATCTGAAGGTGACAGTTATATCATCATCCAGATTACACTTAAGTACTGCTGCTTACATAGACAAATTTATGAAAAATGAAAATAGTTTATTCTGTTCAGAAGAAGGTAAAGATGAAACTGAAATTTAGGCAGAATGAAATTTGTTAACCAAACCTAGATTAACCATAATAAACCTGAGAATGGACTCTAAAATTTAATATATTATCAGCTAACACAATATAGCTTTATGATTAACAAATCTTGTTCATATCCATACACACATAGTATTTATGTAAAAATGGAACATTGCTACTGTATCCTTGATGACAATGTATTCATTGCCCTTATGCTGAAGGGAGCAGTAGAGTGGACAATGGCTAAGCATCCTTTGAAATAAACTATATTTAGAAATACCTATTTGATGGTTTTTTTTTTCTAGAAATAAATAATGTTTCCTAAATTCAAAAACTTATCAAAACTTATACAGTATATATCCCCCCCCCCCAATTTCTTCCTGCCCGTATATCTGACACAATACCTTGGAGATTTTTTTACAGTCCTACTTGATTATATTTTTATTTATTAGGTTACAATTTTCTATTACAATTCATGCTTTAATCTAACAATATTTACATAAAAATGCTAATTTAGAAATCTTTCCAAAATTATAGAACAAATTTTGAAACATATGTTACCATTTTTACTTCTGGCCCATCAAAACAAGATTGTTTACTAGTAGTTTGTCTAGTTTCTCTCCTTTAATGATATAACAGGTTAGTTGTATATTATTAGATTTGAAAATATAAGTATTGAAGGACTTATGTTCCAGAATTATAAATTTCCAGGTACAATTTTCATTTTTTTAAAAATTACACGATTTCAGTGTTTTATGCTTATTTATCATATTTTCAGAAAGAGGACAATAGAAATATCACTGTATCACCATAATAGTGACTTGAATTTTTAACATAAACAAGAGTGATTAAAATAAATGACTGGTTCTTTAATCCCATCATCACAACACTATCCATTGCTGTTTGGCGTTTGCTTATGTCACTGTATAAACATTCATGTTTGAATACAAAGCAACCATATCTGTTTTTTTTTAAACTGACATATTAGAGATACCGGTGTAGCTTGAAGTAAAAAAGAAGAGTCTGAGAGTCAAGTGAGCAGTGAAAGAAATGAGGAATTGAAAATAAATGTTCATATGTGGGAAGGGATTGGTTAAAAACAAAATTCCAATCAAAGGGAATTGGACAATTATGATAAATGAAATGCAAAGAGGATTCTTTTGTGAGATTGTTATAAGAAAAGCTAGGCTAATGGTCCTATGAAAAAGCATATTTATTCTACTTGAATTTTGAATAAATCTTTTGTGAGTATAACCAGGAATAGATTAGAACAATGTTTATAGAGCACTGTTCACAGAACACAAAGCATAGTTATGGTTATTGCTTAAAAATGTGAGATTACTGACATTGTGGTACATGATATGACATTGAAGCAGAGGGAATAGACAGAGGAGTAGTAGTACAAAGCTTAAGCCACTGGCTTCTTGCCCTGTTTCTTCTTCCAACTCCTAACCAAGAAGTAAAATCATGCAAACATACAGAGTAATGTGGGAAAAGACATGAATTATTTGTGCCCATACTAATGGCACAACTGAAAGTTGGTTTTGGAATACTGATGGGGGATATAATCCAACAATAATTTAAGAAAACTGGGTAAGAAGAAAATAATTTGATTTTGGCAGAATTTTTTTAAAAAGTAAAATTGCTTTCAAATTGACCTTGACTTCTATTGGCTTCATGAAATGTGCATATAAAAGTTATTAAAATAGTTTGCCAAGATGTATTTCTAGTTTTTCTGTGTAGCTTTCAGAAAAAATGGCTTTCAAATTCTTCAAAAAAATAATTTGTCCTTTACTTTAAAAGTTAGGAATTGCACACTTCCATCCACATATTCAATTCTCTTTTTCAGACACATATGCATTTTTGGACCTAAATATACATACATATATAAGCATTATTTTACTATTTTGGGTCATTTTTGTGTACAATTGTCTTTTATTTGAATTTTCCAGCTCTGTTTTTGATTCAATGTTCTTGCTGAAGATGTGAAAGTTAAGTAAAATCATATTTTAGTATTTATATCAAAACTGTATTGGGAGAAAGAGTGTTCCCCCTACATATTTTTATCATTATCACCATCATTATCTAATCATCATGATCTAATAATTTTTAAAATGTTTATGTTTGCAAGCTCCCAAAACATTTTGCTTT